GGGAGGGTGGGGGGGGGGGCAGGAGTGGGTTGGAGGGTGGCAGGGATGGTGTGGGGGGTGGCAGGAGTGGTCGGGGGGGGGTGGAAGCACCTCGTGGGTCCCAAGCCCCCATCCCCATCCTTAGGGGCTGCTAATTGCCCCTCTCCTCCTCCCGCAGCCCAACGGCAAGAGCAAGGACTGCATCTTTACGGAGATCGTGCTGGAGAACAACTACACAGCTTTCCAAAACGCCCGCTACGAGGGCTGGTACATGGCCTTCACCCGCAAGGGCCGGCCCCGAAAAGCCTCCCGCAGCCGCCAGAACCAGCGGGAAGCCCATTTCATCAAACGTCTCTACCGGGGGCAGCTGCCCTTCCCCAACAACCCCGAGAGGCAGAAGCAGTTCGAGTTCGTGGGCTCGTCCTCCCCCCCCCCCCGCACCCGCCGCACCCCCGCCCCCCCCCGCGCCCCTCGCCCCCGCACGTAACGGCTGCCCCCGCTCCCCCCTCCTCATCCTCACCGCCTTTCGGCCTCGCCAGACTCTCTGCCCCTTCTCCCGGCACCCTCCAGCACTGCTTTTTTTTATTATTTTTTTTTCCCCCCACTTCTTTTTCTAAAGATGCTCTATTTTTGTACTGTGAGTAGGTCGGGGGGTGCACGCTTTAGTAGGTCGGGGGGTGCACACTTTGGGCACGGTGACTGGTGTCCCTTCATCCCGTGACTGGTGTCCCTTCATCCCTGGACCATCCCGTGACTGGTGTCCCTTCACCCCTGGAGCATCCCATCACCTGTGTCCCTTCATCCCATCACCGGTGTCCCTTCATCCCTGGACCATCCCGTGACTGGTGTCCCTTCATCCCTGGAGCATCCCATCACCAGTGTTCCTTCATCCCACCACCGGTGTCCCCTTCATCCCTGGAGCATCCCATCACCAGTGTCCCTTCATCCCTGGACCATCCCATCACTGGTGTCCCTTCATCCCTGAAGAATCCCGCCACTGCTGTCCCTTCATCCCATCACTGGTGTCCCTTCATCCCTGAAGAATCCCGCCACTGCTGTCCCTTCATCCCATCACTGGTGTCCCTTCATCCCTGAAGCATCCCGCCACTGGTGTCCCTTCATCCCTGGAGCATGCCGTTACTGGTGTCCCTTCATTTCTGGAGCATCCCATCACTGGTGTCCCTTCATCCCATCACTGGTGTCCCTTCATCCCTGGAGCATCCCATCACCTGTGTCCCTGCATCCCTGGAGCATCCCATCACCGGTGTCCCTGCATCCCATCACCGGTGTCCCTTCATCCCATCACTGCTGTCCCTTCATCCCTGGACCATCCCATGACTGGTGTCCCTTCATCCCTGGAGCATCCCATCACCGGTGTCCCTTCATCCCATCACTGCTGTCCCTTCATCCCTGGAGCATCCCATCACCGGTGTCCCTGCATCCCAGGAGCATCCTGGGGTACCCACCTTCACCACCCAGTGCCTTTGCCTCTTCCCCTCAGAGACTTGTCCCCGTGCCACCGAGGGCTGGGACCTGCCCCCAAGGCCACCTTTCTGTCCCCACAGAATCCCTCCCAGTGCCCAGGGATGGATGGAACTGGCCACAAAACTGTGGGATGTCCCCACCGGAGCGGGATGGGGAGCTTGTCCCCAGCCCCAGGACCATGGGATGCTGTGCCCATCCCTGGGAGGGATGGCAGGGCACTGTGGGGTGGGGGGCCAGATGATGGGGAGCGTGGGGTGCCAGTCTGTCCGTCCGTCTGTCCGTGCAGAGGTGGGGGGGTGCCCGGGCACGCAGACCCCGTGGCCAGCACTTGTGTCCCCACATCCGGGGGGTCTCTGAGTTATTTATTGGAGGGGAAGGGCTGTGTCCCCTCCTGGTGGCACCACCGGGTGCCCACCGGGCTCTGCTGGCCAAAGAGAAACCATTTTTAGGTGATTTTTATTTTTGAGTTGGTTGTTTGCGTGTTTTTACGAGCTCTGCTGTTTCCTTTACGAGTCAGTTTTAGGCCTAAACAGTTAGATTTTGGAGTTTGTTTGTGTAAAGGAGGAAACCCCCAGGCAAATAAAAGCGAGTGTCTAGACAGATGGGGCTGGGGGGAGTTTTTATTCCTGTGCTGAGGCTTTGCCACTGGTTTTGTGCCTTGGGGGGGTGCCCGGGCACGCAGACCCCGTGGCCAGCACTTGTGTCCCCACATCCGGGGGGTCTCTGAGTTATTTATTGGAGGGGAAGGGCTGTGTCCCCTCCTGGTGGCACCACCGGGTGCCCACCGGGCTCTGCTGGCCAAAGAGAAACCATTTTTAGGTGATTTTTATTTTTGAGTTGGTTGTTTGCGTGTTTTTACGAGCTCTGCTGTTTCCTTTACGAGTCAGTTTTAGGCCTAAACAGTTAGATTTTGGAGTTTGTTTGTGTAAAGGAGGAAACCCCCAGGCAAATAAAAGCGAGTGTCTAGACAGATGGGGCTGGGGGGAGTTTTTATTCCTGTGCTGAGGCTTTGCCACTGGTTTTGTGCCTGCTGGGGTTGGGGGCACCCAGCTCCCCCTTGGCACAGGGTGTCCTCACCCACCCAAGGTGGGTACTGGGGGAGAAATGCTCCGTGGCAGGAGGATGGTGGCAGAGGACTCCCTGTGTCCCCATCCCTGTCTGTGCCACCCCCAGGCTGGGTCCTGGGGGTGTCTGCTGGGTCCTGGTGAAGGGGGCATCACCCTCGGTGTGGTACCCACTGTTTCACCCCAGAGGTGATGCTCTGGGGGGGTACCAAGAGTGGTACCCACTGCTTCACCCCAATGTGGTATCCACTGCTTCACCCCAAAGGTGATGCCCTCTGGGGGTACCCAATGTGGTACCCACTGTTTCACCCCAAAGATGATGCTCTGTGGGGGTACCCACTGCTTCACCCCAAAGGTGATGTTCTGTGGGGGTGCCCAGTGTGGTGCCCACTGCTTCACCCCAAAGGTGATGCTCTGTGGAGGTACCCAATGTGGTACCCACTGCTTCACCCCAAAGGTGATGCTCTGTGGAGGTACCCAATGTGGTACCCACTGCTTCACCCCAAAGGTTATGCTCTGTGGGGATACCCAGTGTGGTACTCACTGTTTCACCCCCAAAGTGATGCTCTATGGGGGTACCCACTGCTTCACCCCAAAGGTGATGCTCTGTGGGGATACCAAGTGTGGTACCCACTTCTTCACCCCAAAGGTGATGCTCTGTGGGGAAACCAAGAGTGGTACCCACTGCTTCACCCCAAAGGTGATGTTCTGTGGGGGTACCAAGTGGGGTACCCACTTCTTCACCCCAAAGGTGATGCTCCTTGGGGATACCCCATGTGGTACCCACTGCTTCACCCCAAAGGTGATGCTCTGTGGGGGTAACAAGAGTGGTACCCACTGCTTCACCCCAAAGGTGATGCTCTGGGGGGATACCCAGTGTGGTACTCACTGTTTCACCCCAAAAGTGATGCTCTATGGGGGTACCCACTGCTTCACCCCAAAGGTGATGCTCTGTGGGGGTACCCAGTGTGGTACCCACTGCTTCACCCCAAAGGTGATGCTCTGGGGGGGTTCCAAGAGTGGTACCCACTGTTCCCCCTGCCCGGGGGCCACCATCTCGCCCACCCCTCGGTGGCCACCGCTCAGACAGTCCCCCACTGCGCTCGGTGCCCCCACCCCGTGCCGTCCCCCCTTCCCCATAATTGCTTTCCCCTCCGACAATGCCCGGGGAGGTGGGATGCCAGCCCACGGGGAGGATGTAATCCCTTCACCGGG